ATCTGTATACAGATATAAGGAAAGTATAGGAATCATGATTTTTTTCGACCTCGAGTTTTCGACGGATTTTTACGTTTTGAGGTCCCCTGAATCCGTTTTGACTATTTTCGCGATGATGTCTGTCTGTGTGTGTGTGTGTGTGTGTGTGTGTGTGTGTATGTGTGTGTGTGTGTGTATGTGTGTGTGTGTGTGTGTGTGTGTGTGTGTGTGTGTGTGTGTGTGTGTGTGTGTGTGTGTGTGTGTGTGTGTGTGTGTGTGTGTGTGTTTGTCTGTATAACGCATAACTCATGAACCGATACACAGAAAAACACCAAATTTTAAACTTAAGCTTTGTTTCAGCGTCCAATGAGCTGATTAGATTTTGGGCAGTGTCGGAACATCTGGGGGGTACTTTATAGGTGGTCATTTTTATATTTTATGGAATATATCTGTTATTTACGGTTGGAGAAGAAAATTCTTCAAATAAAAGTTACTTCTAATATAATTATCTATAATTTTTGTATTATGCAAAATTTTTCTAAAATGGTCCGTATTCGAGAAATTTGACAAAATGTAAAAAAAATAATTTTTTATAAAAATTGTTCAAATAAAAGTTGTTTGTAATATAATTCTCTATAATTTTTATTTTATACATAATTTCTCTAAAATGGACCGTATTCGAGATATTTGAGAAAATGTGTAAATTTCGAATTTTGAAGAAAACTCAAAAACGGATAAAGAAAAAAACATTAAATTTTAAACTTAAGGTTTATTTCGGCCTGACGTGAAATGATTAGATTTTGGACAAAGTCGGAACATCTGGGGGGGGGGGGGGGTACTTTATGAAAGGCCGTTTTTATATTTTATGGAATATATGTGTTATTTATGTTTGAAGAAGAAAATTGTTCAAATAAAAGTTACTTCTAATATTATTATCTATAATTTTTGTTTTATGTCAAAATTTCCTGAAATGGTCCGTATTCGAGAAATTTGACAAAATGTGCAAAATTCTGATTTTTAAGAAAATTGTTAAACTAAAAGTTGTTTGCGATATTGATCTCTATAATTTTTGTTTTTACATGATTTTTCGAAAATGAACCGTAATGGAAAAATTGGAGAAAAGTACTAAATTTAAATTTTTCAGTACTTTCGTTTTCAATGAATATCTGTAAAAAAATGTTTCGAGTTAAATGTATGTGGAAAATGTATATATTTAGTTTATTCCCTAAATATTTATAGAGGAGGTATAATAGGTTGTACAAAATAACCGCCTATAAAGCCTATAATAACTAGATAGGAAAGTCATGTGTTGGACACATCAGATTTTTTTATTCATATCACTAACCTTCAATTCAGAGAAGAAATAGTGGATGTTGCTAAATAGGTTTGTTACAAATATTTAAAGCCTTTTCTCAGTGTATTATCCGAATTTATACGAATCTTGTTTATTTTTACTAGTGTAACAACCGGCAAAAACGTCAACTGTCACCGAGTGTCACTTTAAATTTTGACCACCCCGACATCAAAGTGCCGACACAAGCCTTCGCTTCTGTAATAGGTAGGTTATTCTGTGGTTAATACACTGTCGATGTGATTTTTGATTGTCATATTTTTAATATCTTTTAATGCTGCGTTTGAGAATCCACATCGGATGCATCTGGGATGTAGTAAATCTTTGATCACGTGATTCAGTATACGTAAATGTAATGGGGCAGATGTGTCCGATGTGGATAAAAAACGCTCGAGATGTAAAAAATGCATCCGATGTGGATTCTCAAACGCGGCATAAGATGTTTGGTGGTTCAATTTTAAATCGAAAATTTTACTTAGAAGGGTATTTTTATGTCAAAGATGAGCAGTGTAATGACAAAATATACTAGAAATGCGAAGAATTTCACAAAAAATGCAAGGGGAGAGCGATAACGGAAAACGGGAAACATGAATTAAAAGGAGAATACAACCACACTGGAAGAAGTGAAAAGGAGGAAGCGGGATAATTATTGGCAATTAATAATCCAATTTTATTTTCAAAACTTACGTTTTAGGCTTTAGGAAGGATAGTAATCTTCAAATTTATCTGCGGAAACTCCATACATTGTAGGTACTTTTTTTTTCTTTTTTATGTATTATGGAACTTTGAGGATCATTTATATAAGCTTCTTTTTAGAATTATATCTGTCATACTGGAAACTGTCAAGTAATTACAAATGCGCGGTGTTGCCAACTTCTCGAATCCTAATCAATGAAAAATAAATGTAAAAAACTATAATCACATCACCGGTGACAATCGCAAAAATGTGATATTTTGGGTCCGATTAATTTTAAGAACTCAGAATTTCGAAAAAAAAAAATTGTTACACTAAAAAGTACTCATTTTATATAGTAATATTTCCAATAATTACCAATTTTATTTAAATTGTTATAATACACAATTGACTGAATATTAATATTACATCATCTATAAAGTAATAAACAATGTTTACTTTTTAAAAACTCTATTACTTTTCCCAAAAGTGTTTAAACTTTTTTCAAACTTGGACATTTATTTATCTGACAACATATGACTTGACGGCCAAAGTCAACGATTATCATCAACTAAAGAGGATAGACGAATCCGTTTAATTTCTGCTGTGTTAGCCGTGACGTTATCCCCCGAATACGTTCAGCTGCATTTCATTTAAAACGAACACCTATACAAACTTTTTAAAATACGACGTTTAATATTTTCTTACTTTAAAACTTAAAAGTAATTCAGATATTCAAAAATCATTTGACTAAGAGAGAAAATTACACGCATCTAAAAAATTACAGGAGTAAATAAATAGGTTATAAATTTGAATACCATGGCCATATTATTTAAACATTTTTTATTTAACAAATATTTAAGAAATTTGACATGTTAGGGTATACGTCAAAATGAATATACAAAGTGTACAATAAGAAACTTGCTAATATTGCGCTGCCGTCATCTCACCCACCTCCTAACCACTATCCGCGCGAATTTCGAAGCGTCCTCTGGGCGCGTACTTTTTACATCTACATTATAAGCCATATGCTGCCGTCATCTCACCCTCCTCCTAACCACTTCAGAAGAGAGCGCACGCCCGGTCGACGTTTCGAAATTCGCGCGCGCGCGATTTCGAAACGTCGGCCGGCCGGCCGCTCTTTTTTAAATCTACACCATAAGACATACGCTGCCGTCGTTTCACCCACCTCCTAACCACTACAGAAGAGAGCGAGCAAAGCGAAGCATTTTTTACATCTACACTAAAAGACATATGCTGCTGTCATCTCACCCACTTCCTAACCGCTTTAAAAGAGAGCGAGCGAAGCGGGAGCGCCCTGCGCGAATTTCGAAACGTCGGCCAGGCACGTTCGCTTCGCTCGCTCTCTTTTGTAGTGGTAAGGAGGTGGGTGAGATGACGGCATCGTATGTCTTATAGTGTAGATGTAAAAAATTGGGCGCCCGGCCGATGTTAATTCCGAGCCAACAAAGGCTAGTTCTCTTATAACGCGAGCAAATTTACCATTTATAAGTAGCCTGAAAAGAAGAATCCAATATGCAAGAAAGAAAACCAATCCGTATACTTGTGTACCTAGTTTAACGGAATTAACTTTGTCCGATAAGTATAGTACCAGTTTTTTGCTAATTGACTCTGGCAAAAATGAACGAAGGATACTGATTATTTTACAAAGCCGCTAATATGCGGTTCCTTGACGAATCAGAATATTGGTACATTGATGGAACTTTCAAATGTGTACCTATTATTCTCGAGCAATTGTATTCAATTCATGGAATTGTTGGAAGTCACACGGTTGTACCTTTAGCATATGTGTTACTTTCAGACAAAAGAGAAAACCTACACTTTTTTATTTGAAAAAGTAAAAGAATTTATACAAAAAACAGTGGTTAAGGTAATTACAACTGATTTTGAAATATCCCTCTTCAGTTTTTCCTTCGGTTTCACATATTGGCTGATATTTTCATTTTAAACAGTGTGTACAGAACAATTCAAAAATTGGGTCTTAAAAAGGAGGACGATACTAACCGACTATGTTCATTTAGTATCAAAGTATAAGATTCATTAGCTTTTATAGCGCAAAAATACGTACTTAGAACATATAAGCAAATTCGGCAATGATTATTACTTCCTAAAAATCTTGATACTTTTTGCAATTATTTTGAAGCAACCTGGATAGGAAAGAAGACAAACGAAACAATGAAAAACCCAAGATTTGACCTCAAATATTGGAACTTTTACAATCATATTTTAAATGATACACCAGTCGCGAGCAATATTATTAGTAAATCAAAGTATAATACTTTTCAAAGCCAAATTAATTGTAAGAATCCCTCGATATGAAACTTTATAGAAGCCTTGAAAATTTCGAAAACACAACTTTTAAATTAAACATATTGTCTTAAGATTCAAGGGATGTTAAAAAACATCGTAAAATTGTTTCTTTAAAACCTTTCTACTTTCTAATATCTACTATTTCCAGTAATAATGATATTATTACAAAAGAAAATATACTTTCTTCTTCTTGTATCCTTTTATTTCTTTGAATGAATTAATTTCCATTTTGTTACTGAAAATTTAAATAGTTTACACTGTTTTTTTGCTACTATTTTCACAATTTACAACACAGCAACTCCGGTTGCTCATTGTTTTGTTTTTACCTATTTTTTGAAAAAAATGTAAAATATATTCATGTATCGCCCTAAAGTGCTCGAATTATCCGTAGCTTGCGCTAGTATCGCTTTTGCTTCCCTTACCATGACTTCGCACTGGGCGAATACGTTGCAAATTTTAACAAGCGGTTCGCTAACAGTTCGCTCTCCGAGCGGTTCGCATATGTATACTTACTATTATTTCAGCAAACGGTTAAAGAACGATTCACGAACGGATCGAAAACGGTTCGTTAACAGTTTGCAAACGGCTCGTAAACCGTTCGGGTCGCAAACGTACACGCATCTTTTCAAAAAATATTCTGTCGTTTTGTTATAGTCCAATCATAATTTATATATTTAAACAAATATGTAAAAATTGAAAACTTACCGGCCTTTTTCTCCGCTGCGGATCCACGATGTTCCCGTGCATGTAGACAGAGTCGGAATCGGCCCCTGTCGATTCGGATCTCGGCCTCTTCCACTCCTCCAGATCCACCGTGGAACAGGCGTTGTTCTGCTCGTCACTGCACACGAATACACTGTGTATAACATATAATTAAATAATAAGTTAGTGTTCGAAGTGTCATCCTAACATTTAACATCGAACATCTAAGGAGGAAGGTGTTAAACATGTAAGCTAGGTTAGGATATTTGATATTTGTATACTAATGTCTATAAAGAGAGTACAGTAAACACAAAACAGGCAAACTGATGGTCCAGAGTAATATATAGTGGATAAACATCTCTAAAGGTCAATAATGGGAGAGCAGAAGAAGATATCATTAATCTTTCTGAAAAAAACATTATTATTTTGACTACAGTGATGAGGACAGGTTAAAAACCATGCAAACATTTAAATAAATGTTATTAAACAAGTCTATAACATCATTTAAATCATATAAACAACCTGGTAATGATTTTGGAGTATAAAACCATACATTTAAAGAACAATTTTTTAGAAGGTGAGTGACAACATGTTCCCAAGGTTATTTTTTCCAAATCATCATATGTGAACCTCAAAATTCTGCGTTTGCTGTGTACAATTCATTATGGAATACCCTGTAACATTTGTATTATGCACATTTACCTATATTAAACTCCAGATTAAGAAATAAGCGTTGTGAGACATAATAAAATTTGGCCTAGCACCAGCAAATTTGTAAAGTAAAACGTATATGTTACAACGCTAACTATTGAAATATCTAGTAAAATAATTATTTGACAGAAATATTTATATTGAAATTATAACAAATTCGAAATGTCACGGATACTTTAGATAACACTAAGAAGCCTTAATTACAGGAATCATTTTCATTATTTTGTATCGTCGTTTGGCCCGGATGCATATTCGAAAACTGCCGACACGTTAAACTCTCGGAAGAGTTTGATGCCGCGAACGACAAACTTGTAAAATCCCGACGTGTCAGAACTAATATGTCGGCGATTTACGAAATAAGAAATGTTTGTTTACTAGACATCAATCATCACTCATGACGAAGCAATTTTAGTTTCAGTTCCCTTTTTCTATTTCCTACGTTATATGCAAGTCTCTATTCAGATTATTTTTTAATTTATTGTTCGTGCCATAATATGTGATTTTAAATTAATAAAATTGGTAATAAATTTAAGGACATTACCTAATACTACCCCATAATATAATGGATTATTGTGTAAAAAGAAAAGAACTTTAGGTACACCAAAAAGAGAAAAGTATATATCAGTACAACCTAAGTACGTCTATTGATCGCAAAAAGAAAACACTGAAAGAAAAAAGACAATTTGCAGTGAAAAAAAACTAATTAAAATAGAGTTAGGAAAACACTTCATTCGTTGGCGACGAGTGTTAAAAATAATGTGGGATTATTGAGGTAATAAGTCAAAAAAAAATTAAACTAAGAAGTAGATTAAATCAGTATTTAGATAGAGGGAGTTAGCCAAATATGGAAAACCGTTTTGTTTTTGTATATATTAAATTCAGAATATTTTCTGAACATCCCCTTATTTTTACTTTCCTATCTGTATACAGATATAAGGAAAGTATAGGAATCATGATTTTTTTCGACCTCGAGTTTTCGACGGATTTTTACGTTTTGAGGTCCCCTGAATCCGTTTTGACTATTTTCGCGATGATGTCTGTGTGTGTGTGTGTGTGTGTGTGTGTGTGTGTGTGGGTGCGAGCGTGCGTGCGTGCGTGCGTGTGTGTGTGTGTGTGTGTGTGTGTGGGTGCGTGCGTGCGTGCGTGCGTGTGTGCGTGCGTGTGTGTGTGTGTGTGTGTGTGTGTGTGTGTGTGTGCGTGCGTGCTTGTGTGTGTGTGTGTGTGTGTGTGTGTGTGTGTGTGTGTGTGTGTGTGTGTGTGTGTGTGTGTGTGTGTGTGTGTGTGTGTGTGTGTGACAAAATGTAAAAAAAATAATTTTTTATAAAAATTGTTCAAATAAAAGTTGTTTGTAATATAATTTTCTATAATTTTTATTTCTCACATAATTTCTTTAAAATTGACAGTATTCGAGATATTTGAGAAAATGAGTAAATTTCGAATTTTGAAGAAAACTCAAAAATGGATAAAGAAAAAAACATTAAATTTTAATCTTAAGGTTTATTTCGGCCTAAAGTAAAATTATTATATTTCGGACAAAGTCGGAACATCTGGGGGGGTACTTTATGGGAGGCTGTTTTTATAATTTATGGAATATATCTGTTATTTATGTTTGGAGAAAAAAATTGTTTAAATAAAAGTTACTTCTAATATTATTATCTATAATTTTTAATAAATGTCAAAATTTGCTGAAATGGTCCGTATTCGAGAAATTTGACAAAATGTGGCAAAATTCTGATTTTTATGAAAATTGTTGGACTAAAAGTTGTTTGCGATATCGATCTCTATAATTTTTGTTTATACATGATTTTTCTAAAATGGACCATAATGGAAAAGTGCTAAATTTAAATTTTTCAGTTTTCGTTTTCAATAAATATCTTTAAAAAAATGTTTCGAGGTAGATGTATGTGGACAATGTATATATTTAGTTTATCCTCTAAACATTTATAGAGATGCTGCAATAGGTTGTACAAAATAACCGGAAAAAGCCTATAAAAACTAGATAGGAAAGTCATGTGTTGGACACATCAGATTTTTTTGTATAGATTCTTTACATCTTTAAAAACCATGATTTATTATTTATAATATTAAATTTATTAAACAGGAGTCACAGAAAAATATTCTATAGAAGATTGTATTTTCGTACCTAATACGGAATATATCCCCAATATGGAACATATGTTTCAAGAAAAAATAAAACACAAAACATTTTATTACTTTATGCTACATGAAAAAACAAGTTAACGAGTAAACATAAGAAAATTGCGTCGGATATATTAGGAGAACGTATTTTAACTCTTTTACAAAAAAATTACAAAACTATATTGTTTACAAAAGTATCTACTTTTTCTAAATATACAATAGACTTTTTTGAATTTAAATTTGACTAATATAAATATCTAATTGTAGATAAAAATATTCGTAAATCGCCAACGTATTAGTCTAACACGTCGAGATTTTACGAGGTTGTTATTCTCGATGCCGAACTGGTACGAGTATCTAACTTGTCGGCGTTTTCCGAATATGTGACCCGGATTATGGTATGAATACATTTTGCATATTAGCCTTTATAAAATCTTTAATATTTATTGTCTGCTCAACGTAATTCTCTTAGTGAATATTTTCTTAATTTTTATTGTATTACATTTTTTTACTTTTCCTGCCCTAAACGTCAAATTATAGGTGGAAAAATGGCTACTTCAGGGTGAAATGTGATAAAAATATAAAAATTTCGGGACATTCTTTTGTAACTTTGGTGATTTATACGCGTCAGTTGGTAATCTAGTTAACCCACGTTCTTCAGCTTATTAAATGCCAGTATATTATTTTAATGACTTATACCGTTTCCTGCAAACATACAAATCAATATGATCTATTTAAATAAATATAAACACAATATCGCTTAAAATTTACTTATACCATTTTTACCCTGCAGTAGTCAAAATGCTAGTTCAACACACTTACATAGACAGTTGGCAGCCTATGGAAAACTTTTTTAATATTAATTTTGGGGAAAAAGTTATTCTTTACAAATAGTTTTTTATGACTATCAAATTTTATCAGTCGTATACGAGGTTTGTCAAAAATAAAGGCAACTTATTCTTGAGTAAAAATTATATTTTTTGACGTACCGTATACGGTTTAAAAAAAATATTTTTGATGATTGAGTTTTAGGTTTTAGACTTAGCAGAACTTTCTATAATGAATACATTTTTTTGATGAAACTAATATTAAAAAATCTGATGTGTCCAACACATGACTTTCCTATCTAGTTATTACAGGCTTTTTCCGGTTATTTTGTACAACCTTTTGTAGCACCTCTATAAATGTTTAGAGGATAAACTAAATATATACATTTTCCACATACATCTACCTCGAAACATTTTTCTATAGATGTTCATTGAAAACGAAAATACTAAAAAAATTAAATTTAGCACTTTTCCTACAATTTTTCCATTACGGTCCATTTTAGAAAAATCATGTATAAACAAAAATTATAGAGATCGATATCGCAAACAACTTTTGGTTCAAAGCTATCAAAACGGGAGAGTATCGTAGTCCTGCTCTTGACAATCGGATACCTCAAGTAATATAAATAAAATATGTATTTGAAACTTCTTAACATGATGCATAATCCCATTAAGGCTAGATTAACTAATTGATGGCCATTCTTATTTGAGATTTTTACAGAAACACATACATACATGGCTCCCGATCCTGAGACCGCCATTTCAATCTTGATACCACGGTGTCAGAATCGGAAGTGCAAAGAGATGTTTACCTACAAAATAATTTTTCATAGAATTCATTAGTACTTGCAAATTGTTTTATTTAGCCTGGACAACGTCGGTTTTCTTCCAGTAATGCGCAGACAACGTCCGTTTTTAACCATAATGATTATTTTTAAATGTCGTAATATTCGGACCGCGTTTGTTTTACTTGCTCACAATTTAGCATGGGTCTGGACCTCATTATCTCAACATAACAAGTTGATTCCTTAAAATTTTTTATAAAACGGACATCGTTGGTTTTTCTTCTTACCCTTCCATTTGTTTCTTTTCGCGACTGGTGCAATTATAAATTTTTCGTAAACAAAATGAACTTGTTCAGTTTTATGCAACAGCTTGCAAGAGAAGATCATTTGGACACTTGAGCTGCGATTACAAAACAATTTAAATGCTTAATTTAAAATGTATATTAAAGGAAAGAAGATGTTGATAGTAAACTTTTAACCTATTAATAAATTTTTCTCAAAAAAAAGAGATGGAAACGTCGTTTCAGTGCCATTCCACAGTTTTATTGTATAAGCTGTGGCCATTCGATATAGCGCAAAAAGTTATGCATAATAGCTATAACCTAATTTTTGTTTGATTATAAAGTACCCTACAAGAACAAAAAAATGGCAAGGAGTATTAAGGAGGTCCTTTCGCC